CCTATTTATGGCATGTTAATTGGAGAGATTCCCACAGCTGCTTTATGCACCCCTGAAGAAGCATCTATAATCCAATTTTCATGGGAATTACAGCATCTCTGCCTGCTATATCCACAGAATTCTGGAATTTCCAGGCCGTTGTTCCCAAAAATCTGGGAGCTGTGGGATCCCATGGGCAGCTCTAGTGGTTTCCAGCATCTCTGGAGCATCCCCACATCCCTGGAGCTCTGGCAGAGCTGGATTAATGGTTGGATTTGATGATGTCAGAGGGTTTTTCCCACCTGGATGATTTTGGAATTCTGGGAGAGGAGCAGCCACCCCTTTAAATCCAGCTGTTTGCTATGGATGAGTTGCATCCTTTGCCACATCCCTGTTGTGCTGACAATCCTAATTCCCTTCCCACGAGGAATTCCAACCCCTGAGCAGAGCTGATCGTGCTAAAACACAACCCCAAACATCCCGAACATCCCAATTCCCATCCCAAAACCTGCACGACACCTCTGCCTACCAACCTCTCCACCCTACCACCTTTTTCCCCCTGCATTTTTTTCCCAGCCAAGCAGGAGGGATCGGAGCAGGTCGTGCCCCAAAGCTGCGGCCTCGGGCCGGGGGGTGCAGCGGGAGGCCGGGATTAGGCTGCAGCCGGGATTAGTTAAATCAGCAATTTAACATCGGAGCTCAGACTGCCTGCAAAAGCCCGGCTCAATGACAAACCCGGTGCCTCCTTAAAGGCTGCAGCCTCTCCAAAATGCTGCATCCCCGGGCCGGGAGCGTTGCCGGGATGGGAACAAGGCTCCTGTGGCACGGCTGGCTAAATTTAGAGGTCCCGGTGTTGCCGTCACGCCGCCTGTGCCGCCAGGATCGCTCCCAACGCTGCTTTTATGGGATTTATTTTTATTTTTTTTTCCTCTCTCTCTCTCCTCAGGGAAGGCTATGACTAAGAGAAATCCACGGCTGGAGGGATGGAGAAGATGGAGGCCCTGGTCCAGCTGCGGAGGGAGAATAAAGTCGGGACTTTGCAGACCTGAGGGTTTGCCCAAAACATTCCTCACCCTCCTCCTCCTCCTCCTCTTTCTCCCTCTCTCCTCCTTCCTCCTCCTCCACTCCCTGGCAGTATCCAAAACAAGACTACGATAATGACAGGCACAAATACAGCAGCCAGACGGGAATCATGGGCTGTTTTCCAGCCTCGGGGGGGATAAACACCTACCTGGAGCCGTGGGGAGCCCCGGCAGCTCCGTCCCCTCCCGGAGCTGCCTCAGCAGCGCCGGAGCCGAGGCAGCGATCTCTGCATTTACCTACGCGCTTCAGCTCTTTTTTTTTTTTGGCCCCAAACAGGATTTTTAAAGGGAATGCAGCCCTGTGTTGGCCTCGGCATAGCAGAGAGGGGGGGGGGGTTTGAAGGTCAGCTTCCCGCTGGATTGGCAGGGAAAGGCTGGGATCAGCATTGGATGGCAGCGTTTGTGTGCTGACATCTCCACCAATCCCCCTCCTGCAGCAGGTCCAGCTCCGGCCACGGACAAGCTACACTTATTATTTTAAGCCGGAAAATCTCCTTCTTCTCATTCAATACGCCCGCAGAGCTCCCAGGCAGCACTAAAAGCACAAATCCGCAATTTTGGGGTGCAAGAAGAGGTGTCCGTGCTCCTGTCGGGGTTATCCAACACTCCATACCCAGGTGCACATTCCCAAATCCCAGCTCCTCACCTTCCCTGCCCTGCCGAGCAGTTTTTGGGTGCCATCCCTTCCCTCATCCCTATTACATAACCACACAAAGCAAGGAATTCTCTTTATCCCGACATACGAACACAATTTATCCCCAATTACTCAGCACAAACGAGCGGTAAACAACACCCTCCCCAATTTTCTCCCTCTCTCCTCTTTTCCACGAGCTCCGGGAAAGCTTTTCCTTACCTGGCTGCTCGGCCCCGAGCATCCTGCGGCTGCCGGGGGCTGCGGGGAGCGGTGGCGAGCGCGCCCGGGTCCCGCTCGCCGCTTCCCCGCCCGGCATCGGCGGCGGGGCCGCTCCCGGCGCTGCCTCCTGCGAGCCGCGAGCCGCTCCCGGGTTATTTTTGGGATTACAGAGACTCAGGGAAGGATGGGGATGGAGGCAGACATATCACACCGTCTAAAATGTGGCCTGGAGTGGGATCTGGAGTCTGCAGCGCAAACCTCAGCAGGGGTTTTTTTAGGTTTTGTTTTCCTTGATTTTTTTTTCTTTCCTTTCATTTTTTTTCTTTTCCATGATTTTTTTCTTTTCCTTTTTTTCCTTTTCCTTTTTTTCCTTTTCCTTTTTTCCCCTCCTTCTCTTCCTTCCTTTTTTTTTTTTTTTCTTTCTCCCTTGATTTTTTATTTTTTTAACCTGGAGAATGCAAAATGCTGCTGGATGGACTCAGCAGGGATGTGACTCGTCCAAGCTTTGCAGCCCCGGGAATGGGACCGATCCAGGCACACCTGGGGCACTTTTCTGGGTACCAGGCAGACAAACACTTAAATAATGCTATAAACAAATATTTGGAATCATGGAATCATTTGGGCTGGAAAAGATCATCGATCATAGAATCCAGCCGTTCCCAGCACTGCCAAGGCCACCACTGCCCCATGTCCCCAAGTGCCACATCCACGGGGATTTTAAACCCCTCCAGGGGACTCATCCAGCTGTGCCAGGGTTGGAGAACCCTTTCCATGAAGGAATTTTCCCAAATATCCAACCCGGTGCAATTCGAGGCCGTTTCCCGTTCTAGCCCGGGCTGAGGTCAGGCTGGAGGGTGGGGACGTGTCCCCTGTGCCCTCCCAGCTCCCCCGATGGCACTCGGGGGAAGCCAAGGCTTTGATCCCAGCTGGATTTCGCCTCATATTCCTCCGCTTTTTGACCTCCCAACTTTTGTTTTCAGACTGAGTTCATATTCTAGCTTACGTTGATATTTTTCCTCCTCGGATTTCTCTGCCCCTGCCCTCGGAGCTGCCCGCACATCCCTGCTCCGCCTCCGGCTTGTCACGACCCTAAATCGCGACATCCCCCTCCCACCTCCCCGGCAGCAGCTTCCCCGTTTATCACCTTGTTTTCCCATGTCCCGATCATTCCTGAGGTCACTCACAAACCGGGAGTGCCTCGAGCTGTAATTCGGGAACTGGTGGCACTGGGAGGAGGAACTGAAGCTCCAGGGGTTGAATTCCCAATTCCAAGCGCACCTGAGGGATTACCTGGGGCACAGGGGCACGGCCTGAGCCTCCCTGTCCTAATGTCCCCAGGGATTTGTCCCAGGCAGAAATTAAAAAGGAAATTAAAACCACTTTATGTGCAGGAGAGGTGGATTGAGGTGGGATTTAAGGACCCTCCCAACCCAAACCAATCTGGGGCTCTGGGATTTTGGGATTCTGGGGTTCTGGGATTTTGGGGTTCTGGGATTTTGGGACTTTGGGGTTCTGGGGTTTTGGGATTCTGGGGTTCTGGGATTCTGGGATTTTGGGACTTTGGGGTTCTGGGGTTTTGGGATTCAGGGATTCTGGACTTTGGGGTTCTGGGATTCTGAGATTCTGGGATTCTGGGATTTTAAAGTTCTGAGATTCTGGGGTTCTGGGATTTGGGGATTCGGGGGTTCTGGGATTCTGGGATTTTGAAGTTCTGGGATCCCGGGGTTCTGGCAGGGCAGGAGTAAATGGCTGCATCCAAACTGTCTTTTTAACCAGTCTATTGGATTATATCAGGTAAAGGACCCAAAGAGCTATGCTGTGTCCCAACCCAAACCCTGAGGGGTTTTCCACGTTCAGGCAGGGATGCTCTGACTCCTCTTCCTCCCCTCTCCTCCTCCTCAGCTCCTACAAAGAAACTTCAGGTCAACACTGCCCTGCTGCTTTGGCAAGGCACAACCCACACGGACTCTGCCAGCGTAGGGATCAGCAGGAGAAAATCTTTATTTACATCTCGAGAGCAGTAACACAGCTGCAGCGATTCACCGGGAAGAAACTCCGGGAAGAAAAATCCGGGAAGAAAAATCCGGGAAGAAAATTCCGGGAAGAAAACTCGGCGTGACATTCCAGGGGGGAGAGGGCTCCTCCCTCCACACAGTATCTCGGGTCGGTACAAAATTTGCTGTGACTTTACAAAAGGTTTGGGATTCACAGTAAAATACCAAAGGGGAGCACGGCGGGGGCACAGCGAGGGACAGGGCTCCATCCCTGCTGGAATTTGGTCTCGGAAAATGCAACAGGTCTGGTGGAAAAATCCATCCCGAGGGCTGGGTGCGTGCACAGCCACGGGATTTCTACTCCCATTATCGGGCTCAAAGCCTGGAAAAGGCATCTGCAGACCTGTCCTGTGCTGGGCTGCATGGAATTCTCTCTTCAGGAGGAATTTTGCAGGAGGGAAGGACAGGACACAAGGACAGGACAAGGCAAAGCAGGGATCAGCCCCTCTGCCTGGCACTCAGCTGCTTTTATAGCCTAAAAAAACCCCCTAAAATCTCCTCTCCTCCTGCCCAAAGCTGTTCCAAAGAAAGCAGCACACAAGTTTTGGCTATTTCTGGATTTGTGTCTAAAACCAGCCTAGACCTTCATCCCAGGGTCATGGGAAAATCCCAAATCTTTCTGAAATAAGCTTTCATTGCTGGCTGGAAGATTTGCTGCCTCCCAGCACGAGGGCATGGAAAGGCCAGCAGTGAGACCTGACAATTCCTTTGTTCCCACCTGGAAAATTCCCACCTGGAGCAGGGTGGGAGCACTTTGGCCTCTCCCCCAGGCAGGGATGAGCAGGGGGGATGTGGGCAGTGATGCTGCTCTGGCTCCATTGGGGACAGCACCAGGATAAAGCAGATTTTAGGGATCCTTGGTCAGCACGAGGATGTTCAGCTGGGATAAATAAACCCAGGAAGGTGCTGAAGTTTCACACATGGGAAAAAAAAATCCCTAAAAAAAAAAAAATCTGATCATTCCCTTTTCCCTGCTGTGGGCAACTCTCCAAGGAAAAATAAACCCAGGCACATCCAGCAGCAGAAAAGTGCCCAGGCTGCTCTGATTAATCCAAGAGGTGCCAGGCAGTGCCAGGTTCCTGTGAGCCCTCTGGCAGAAGCAGCATTCCCTGTGGATCCAGGTGATGCTAAAATTCAGCAGTTTTTTTATTTGGTTGGTTGTTTTTTTTTAAACCTTTACAAATACACATCTTGCTTTTATTTTTTTTTTTTTTTTTTTTGTTAAATATATAGTTTATAAAATAAGGCAACTCGAGGAGACAAGAATTGTCCCCATTGCTCTGGTACTGCATCCTACAAAAAGAGGGTGACAGTACTTCCAGTTGAGAAAAGTCCAGCCCCAACACAATCCAGGGATGCTGTAAATCATGGGAAAACATCTGGGCATGGCCCTGCATGCATCCCAAGGCAGGAAAGATTTCTGGGATTTCATGGGGAGGAAATCACTTGGCTGGGGAATGCAGCAGGAACAGCTGAGGGGACCCCCAGGCCAGGGGACCCCGGGGACAAAGGCAGCACAGAAGATGGAATGAGCTGATTTCTCCCCCAAAACTGAAGCACACGTGGAGATAAATCTTTGGGAGAAACTCTTAGGACATCTCTATCTTGTGGTATTAAAAGCTATAAACCAGGAAAGCACAAAGGAGTGCAACTCATCCCAGATCCTGCTCGGTCTCACAGATTCCATAAAAACCTGCACAGCAGCTTTTTCTAACGAGGAATTCAGCTCTCCCTATGGAAAGGCCACAAGGGATTGTTTCACCTCCAATGTTTTGTCTTTTTCAATGCTGGAAATGTGAGCCTCACACCTCTCAGCTTTGTAGTACACACGTTTTCCACGTTGCTCCCAAAATTCCCACTGGGTTAAGTGTTGCTTTCTAGAGCTTTATTTCTCTGAGAAATACATTTAATAGAAAATAATTTATAGGAAACAAAAAAACCTCAGCCTAGAGAGTCCTCAGCAGTAAACAGTCCTGTGGAGCAACAGGATGGCACATGTGGGCTCAGCCAGGGACTGGGGCTGGAAAAGGATGGCAAGGACACCATGGCAAAGCTGTGTAAACCTGGAATGACCAATGCCCTGGTCAGCATCACCAATCTGGGATGGACCACGGGCAGGAAAACTCTATAGCCCCAAAAGAGGGAAAAAAAAAATCCCTTATTCCAGCAGGCTTGACCTTCTACACAAAGATCTGATCCTGGCTGTGACTGGTACCCACCAACATCACCCAGTTCATGATCACCCAACCCCAGCACAGCCCTGGCACTGCACTGGGAACCAAATCCACAATGGAATGAAATCCTGGTCCTTGGCACGAGCTCTTTAGTGCTCCTCATCTGGGAGGATGGGTGGGATCCTGCTGGACAGCAGGCTGTACACGTAGGGCCAGATCTTGTTGGTCTCTGTGCCAGAGAAGGAGTAAAGGATGCCCCTGCTCCTGGAAAAAGAGGTGGGAGAAGTGAAAAAAAAGTGGGAGAAGAGAAAAAAAGTGGGAGAAGTCAGGACCAGCCCATCCCAAGGCAGCTGGGACAGGGCTTGGAGCAGCCTGGGATAGTGGAGGTGTCCCTGTCCATGGCAGGGGATGGAATGGGATGGGCTTTACAGAACCATTTTGGGGTTCTGTAATTCTCCTCCTTCCCCTGCAAGGAAAATTTTGACCCTGCATGTGCTTAAAAACACTCCTGGGCTTCTACTCCCTTTGGGGACTGCATCTGCCACCCTGCAGCAATCTATCATTCCCAGGCTGGCCAGGGAACAACAATCCCACAATTCCAGGGAACAACAATCCCACAGTTCCAGGGAACAACAATCCCACGGTTCCAGGGAACAACAATCCCACGGTTCCAGGGAACTGCCCCAGCCCTGGATCCCCAGCAGATCCATCAGAGCCAGCACTGGGTCTCTCCCTACTCCTGCCCTCTTGCCAACCTCCCTGTGCTTCCCCCAAACCCCTCAGGGCCCTGGATGGATTTTTCATGGCATGTCCCACCCTGGATCGAGGCCAAAATCCCTTTCCCATTTGATGAGCCCAGCAGGACAAACAGGAGCTGGGAATTTCTTTGGATCACTTTTCTTCCTCCAAGGGAGGCCAAATCCAGGCTCAGGGCTGTACCCCAAAAATCTGCCAAGCCTTTTTGGGATGTGGGTATGGGACAAGCAGCCCTGGAGGTTGTTCTGACAGCCCTGCTGTGGTTTCTCCTCGTGCCCAACTCACTTGTAGAGCTCTATCACCGGCTTGGCAGCATCTTTGTACTTCCTGAGCCGGGCAGCCACGGCCTCGGGCTTGTCCTCCTCCCTCTGCACCAGGGGCTCTCCTGTCAGGTCATCCACACCCTGAGGGGACACAAAGCCACACAGGGACATCACTGACCCTGTTCTGTCCCCATAAACCCTGCTTTCCTCATGAGCATCCAGCACATTTCACATCCAGCACATTTCACATCCAGCACAATTCCTCCCAGCACTCAACTCTTCCACCCGGCCTCGCATCCCCAGAGCTTCTTCAGCATCCCAGCTCCTGCAGGGAAAGAGCTTCAGAAAATTCCTCACAGAAGGGAAGTTTTCCTTCTGTGGGTGCTCCCAGGCAGCTCCAGGGGCTCTCACCTGTGTGTGGGGAGGGTTGAAGTCCATGTTGTAGACCCTGCCACTGGCAGGGTGCACCCAGCGGGCGCTCAGCCGATCCTTCAGCGTCTCGAAGGGGATGTTCAGGCTGATCACCAGGTCCAGCTCACAGATCCCATCCAGAGCCTTGGCCTGGCCCAGTGTCCGAGGGAAACCTGGGCAGGCAGCAGCACAGAAATGGGAATGAGAGGCTGGGAAGCAGCAGGGATGGAGCCAAACTCATCCATCAGGCAGCTCTGGAGCTGCAGGCCCAGCCCTGCTGCAGCACAAGCGGTGGGAAAGGCAGACACCACCATATGGCTCCCAGAAAAAAATAGCTCCTGCAGCAGCAGCTCCAGAAATGTGACACCCAGGGCTCAGGTTTGTGGCTGCTGTCCCTGCACGGGGGCTGGGGGCAGCCAGGAGGACACAGGCAATGGCAGAACAGGGATAAATGCTGGAATGGCAAGGGAAAAGGTGAAGGGAACAGAGTGCTGTGCACAGACTGGGACAAAGTGCTGGTTTATGTAGAGGGCATCAGGGATAATGCAGTAAAACAGTCCTGTCCTCCTTGGAGAGCCAGTGAGCAGCTGGAGCAGAGAATTCCAGAATCCCTGATGCTTTGGATAGGAAGGGACTTTAAATACCTGAAGGGAGCCCACAAAGAAGATGGAGAGAGATCTTTAACAAGGGATGGAGGGACAGGACACAGGGAATGGTTCCCACTGCCAGAGGACAGGGATGGGTGGGATATTGGGATGGAATTGTTCCCAGGGTGGGCAGGCCCTGGCACAGGGTGCCCAGATTTGCTGTGGCTGTCCCTGGATCCCTGGCAGTGCCCAAGGCCAGGTAGGAGCAGCCTGGGACAGTGGAAGGTGTCCCTGCCATGGCAGGGGTGGACCTGGATGAGCTTTAAAGTCTCACCCAACCCAAACCACGCTGGGATTCTTTGATTCTCATTCCAGCCATGGCCAGGGCCCCCAGGCCTGTTTGCCCTCAGCATCTCCCACCCCTCCACCCCAGGTGCCTTTTGGGCTGGGATTGAGGAGCTGCTTCACACACACTTGAAGGAGAGAAGAAGTTTTTCCTGGCATGTCCCCAGCCCTGCTGTGCTTGCTGGAACACCCAGCTCCTCTCCCTGCCCTTCCCTTCCCCAGCCAAGGGCTCAGCTGGACGTGCACATGCCAAGGCCAGCAGGAAACGTCCCTGCCTGCAGCTCCTGCCTCTCCAGCAAAAGCACCTCCAGGATTTTCCCTCTCCTGGGACTGCTAAACCACCAGGAACAAAGGGATGTGCCAAAGTGGGGCTGGGATTTCCCCCTGTGCACTCACCATCGAGCAGCCAGGGCTGCTCCCTGCGCTTCTCCAGCTCTGTCACCATCACACGAGTGATGACGTGGTCGGGCACCAGGAGCCCTCTCTCCAGGTACTGCTGTGCCAAGACTCCAGCTTCTGCTCGAGAAAAGAAGGAAAAAAACAAAAGTGATAGATGGGGGGAAAAAAAAAAATTAAAAAAAAAAAAATCACGACATTTCCACTTAAAAAAATATCACACCCCCTCAAATTCTGCCTGGCCTCCTCTGTCTGGGAGGTTTTTGGCAGCGTCGCTCTGCTCGTGATGGAAAGGCCACACGGTCCTTTGAGGCTGCAGGAATGGGAATTCCTGAGATACCTGAGAGCAGGAACGTGCTGGGGCTCTGCCAAGCCCTCAGCTGACGGAGAGAGAAGCTCTGGATGTGCTCCTTTGGTTCAGGAGATGGCTCTGATGTGGTCACAGGTAAGGACTGTCCCACACACCTGAGCCTGCTTCCCATCCCCGGGGCTGAAAGATTTCACTGAAGTCTCCACTTAAGCTCAGATAAGAAAATTATTCCCAAGATCACGTCCTTGAGAACATCATTGGGATAATTGCAAGGTGAGTGCACATTCCTGGGGTCCTGCCTGGCCCTCCCACATCCCTCAGCTTCAGCTGCTTCTGGAAGCTGCAGAGGGACTGGGGACAAGGGATGGAGGGACAGGACACAGGGAATGTCTCCCACTGCCAGGGGGCAGGGATGGGTGGGATTTTGGGAGGGAATTGTTCCCTGGGAGTCTGAGGAGGGACTAGAATGGAAATTCCAGATTTGCTGTGGCTGCCCCTGGGTCCCTGGCAATGTCCAAGGCCAGGCTGGAGCAGCCTGGGACAGTGGGAGGTGTCCCTGCCATGGCAGGGGTGGCACTGGATGGGATTTAAGGTCCTTTCCAACCCAAACCATTCCATGATTGATTTTTGCTGTGCTTTTCTTTCAGCCCCACAGAAACACAAAGAAAACATTTGGAAAATGCAAATATTCTTTGTCCCTGTGTGTGACAAGTCCTTGCTTTCCTCTTGAACCATGAGCCCAAGGACACACCTTCTGCTGTCTTCCCACAGCAGCTGGAATAGCATTTGTCACCAGAAATGAACAATTCCCTGATCTATTTTCTGCACCCTTTCTGGTGAGGACAGCACATTTCAGCCCTCTCCAAAAAATCTGAGGCCTCTCTAAAAATAATCCCAGGATCCTGCATTTTGGGGCAGCTCTGGCTCTCCAGGCTGCAGTGAGATGTCAACACTGGCAGCACCTGCACCTGCCTGGGAAATCCTATTCCTCCTGGAATGAGGAATTCCTCTTCCTCAGCTGCAGGAGGGGGTTCTTGTAAGATGAACAATTCTTGGAGAGAATTCTTCTGATTTAAGGGAAGAGCCAGCCTGAACACATCCCCCTGGGAAGCCAGGGAAATGGGGCTCCCAGACCAGCCAGGCTCCCAGGTTTAATCCAGAATCCAAAGAATCCGCCTGGAAATCACACGGATTTTTCCCTGCTGTGTGTGATGAGTCCTTCTCGTGACAGCAGAAGAAAGGTCCAGCCTCTTTTTGCTTGGAGCAGGGCCAGAAGTGCAGAATGTTGGAATCCAACATCCAACCTGCCTGGGAGCGGGGCAGCAGCGCTGACTCACGGGGCTGAGTCACCGGGATCGCATCCCACTGCCTCCCTGCAGGCAGCGTGCCAGCTGGGAGCGAGCACAAAACACCTTTTCTCAATGACAGCTTCTCTGTCACTGCCCAGACGTCAGCACCGGCAGCGTTCCCGCCTGGGAAAGCGAAGGACACAGGCATGGAAAAAACACCCCGCGGATTGTGCAAACAGCACGGAGCCCCGAGGGCATGGATATTGTAAAAACAGGGCTTTTGTGGATTTTTTTTTTTTATGTTTATTGACATGGTGTGCACAGTGCCAGAGCTCACAGGGAGCGCCTCGCTGGCAGGGCTGGGCTGCTCCGGGAAAGAGCCGGAGCCACGGAGCTGGAGCTGCTGGGAAAGGTCTGGTGTCACCTGAGGAGGGGTGGACATCCAGGGGACCTGAGGAGGGGTGGACATCCCAGGAGCTGCCACACAAGGTCTGGCTGTCACCCCGAGGAGGGATGGACATTCAGGGGACCAGGAGCTGCTGGACAGGGTCTGGTATCACCCCAAGGAGCAGTGGTCATCCAAGGGACCAGGAGCTGCCACATGAAGTCCTGCTGTCACCCCAAGGAGGAATGGCCATCCAGGGGACCAGGAGCTGCTGGACAAAGTCTGGTGTCACCCCAAGGAGGGATGGACATCCCAGGAGCTGTCACACTAAGTCTGGCTGTCACCCCAAGGAAGGATGGACATCCATGGGACCAGGAACTGCTGGGCAAGGTCTGGTTATCAGCCAAGGAGGGATGGACATTCAAGGGACCAGGAACTGCCACTCCAGGTCTGGCTGTCACCTGAGGAGGGATGGACACCCCAGGAGCTGCCACACAAAGTGCAGCTGTCACCCCAAGGAGGGACGGCCATCCCCTGAGCTGGGAGAGGCCACACAAAGTCTGGGATCACCTGAGCCATGCCAGGGACCAGCTGTGGCTCAGCAGGGCTGCTGGAGCCAGGCCTGGAGCTGCAGGCCAGAAATACCCCGAGCCACAGCTGGGGCTGGGAACACAGGCTGGGAACAGAGCTGGCCCCAGGCTGCAGCTTTCCCACGCCCCCAGGACAGATGGACAGCTCTGTCCAGCTCTGCACGGCTCTGTCACAGACAATTCCTGCTGCTCCTCTGTCCCCTCCGTGTGTGAAGCTCCCGGAGCTCCTCCCTCCTCCAAAGCACTGCCACATCTCCTCTCTCCAAGGAGGAATGGCCATGGATTTGCAGGAAGGACCTGCAGAGCTCTCCAGACCCCAAACCCCCAGGATGTGCTGGAGAGCATCACCCCAACCTTCCAGCCCTTGGGGTTTCTTCCAGGCAGTTTAAATCCCAAATTTAACATTTTCTAGCCCCTTCCCAGCCCCCAGCCCAGTCTGCCCCGTGTAAAACCTCCCTGGTGCAGCCCTGTCTGGCCTCATTCCAGAGGGTTTGGGGAGTCCTTCCCGACAGGGAGGGAGATCCTGGTCCCCCCCAACAAGGAGCTGGGCTCACCCCATAACACCAAAACCCCATTGCTGTGCTGGGTCACAGAGGCGGTGCAGGCTTTACTCTGCAGTTACTCCAGGTAGCAAAGGGCTTTTTAGTGTGCTGGGCTCAAACCCAGCCTTTCAACTCCCGGTTTAATCCCATTAATCTGATGACCGTGGCTTTAATCTGCCCTGGAACTCACGGGACTCCCGGCGCTCTGTGGCTTCCCCCACGCGACCTTGATCTGTCCCTCCTTATCACAGCAGCACTGATCCAGCCCCGAGGGACTGTCCCAGCCTCGAGGGACTGTCCCAGCCTCGAGGGACATGTCCCAGTCCCGAGGCCACCCCACAGCCACCCATGGCCAGGCTGGAGGAGAAGCTGTTCCCAAACACAGCTCTCCAGAGCCTGCAGCACCACCCCAGATTTTTTCTCCCTATCCAAAACTTTGCCTAGGACTTTTTTCCCTTATTATTTAGGTTACAGCAACACAATCTGGAGCTAACAGAGAGGAGGAACCCTGGGAGTGAATAGGGCACCAATGCACCACCACAGTGGTGCCACAACAGATGTCACCCCGGTTTGGGGACATTTTTCCTGACACAGGTGCTGCCCTCAGCATCAGGATGTCATTTTAGGGAGCAGGAGCCTGATGTGGCCCCAAATTCAGGCTTGCTGGATGGACAGTGGGGTCTGTCTGGAGGGCAACAGCCAGGATTGGGAGAGACCCTTGTGGTCAGAACACGGCTCTCACACCCAGGGATACAGCAGGAACCCTATGGAAAAGCAGAGGACTGGCAGGCTGCATCCTTGGGCTCAGCTTTGGCCACTAACCTGGCCAGTGTGGCCAGCAAAGACCACAGTCCGTGGGAAAGGTGTGGAGAAGGGCTGTGGGGCCGAGCTGTGCACAGCCCAAATCCCCCAGGGAATTTTGTTTTGTTTGTACTTGGGTGGATGCTCGAAGGGGAAATCTGTCACAGGAGGGGACAGGAGCCACTTCTGGCTCCAACAGAGCTCCTGAAAGGGAGCAGTGGGACAGACACAAGACCCACAGACCCTCAGCCAAAGCCAGGACAAGCAATTCAGTTGTTTGGCAAATGAACTGTGGAGTCCTGCTAAGACCTGGGGGTGCTGCCAACACCACAGACAACCACGGGGCAAGTGCTGGCCAAGGAAATGGTTCACCACCCTCCAGCACCCCTGCCTGGGACCAAAACACAGCCTGTAAGTTTTCCAAGATGTTCCAAAGGCCTTTTCCTACAGCAGAGCAGCCACTTGCAGGGAGACATTAATTAGGAGACACACGGGTGGGGCGGATGTGCTCGGGGGTTGCTGGAGCACAGCTCAAAGCCCTTCAGCAGCAGCCGTGCATTCAGCTGCTTCACCTGCCTCAAAAGTGAGTCTTTGTCCCTGAGACTGCCACTGCCAGCTCCAGCAGTGGCCTGGAACGCTCTCCATGCTGGGAACTCAGCCTTCCTCCAGCAGCAGGAACCCCCTGTGAGCCCAAACCCTCAGCCACAACCACTTCATGCCTGGCCAGCCAGTGGCCAGCAGGAAAATCCCTGGAGCACTGACACATCAGGCCAAGATCCCTGTAAAAACACAGGATTCAGAGTTGCCTTTGGGATGATGAGCCTGTAATGACTCTGTTGGTTCTGCAGAGCCCCAGCTCCCCTAAAGCACAGAGCTGGTGACGCAGCTGATGAAGAGGAGCTGCTTCCACCTCGTTTCCCCCAGAGCTGGCACATGGCAGCACAGTCATGTAACAGCTTGTCCAAAGCAAATAGAAAAAAAAAAAAAAACAAACCCAAATAACTGGAGCTCACTGAGAGCTGTTACAGAGGCTGAGTCAAAGGTGGGACCTGAATGCCACGCCAGATGAACCAAACCACGGCTGGTTTCCTTCTGAATAATTTTCCCTGCGTTTCTCCCTGTTGTTTCCTACTGAATGCACCCAAGACACCTTCGGCTAACTCTTCTTGCTTCTCCAGTGTCCCCAGAGGAGCTCTGTGGCAAGAGCATGAACTGAACTGTGAAGTTTGGGACAGTCAATGGTTCAGAGCTCGGCTGTGGCAGTTCCCGAGTCTCACTGTGCTGCCCCTCTCCACACGCTGCACCTCTGCTTGCTTTTCAGCCCAGCTTTCTGTCCTTCAGCCAAAGCCCTCATCGTGATTTTCCAAATTTTGAGCCTCCCTCTAAAGGAAATATTATTGTCCTCTTTATTTACAGAAGGAAATCTGGATATTTTTACAAGAGTGACCAGCGCAGAGCTGTGTGCAACGCCCTTGTCGGACCACGCACCTTTCCAAAACTTTACCCTCCCTAATTTTCCTCCCTGTTTTTGCCATCCTTCTAGAACAGAAACCTAAATTCTCTCGGCTTGTTTTGCATCGACACCGTTTCACCGTTCCCCTGCCCGGTGAGTCAGCTTCCCCCCCGGCTCGGTCTTTCACACATTAGCAGAGGAGAGAAGGAAGTGTTGGGAAAAGAAATACGCCGGGATTGCTCAATGCTGCAGAGCCGGGGCTCAGCACGGCCGCTCCCGAGCCTCGCCTGGACCAGGAGCCCCTGGGACAGCACATCCCAGCTCCCAGGGCTTTGGATTTGGATGTCGGACACTAAAACTGGGTGTCCAGGGGTGACTGTGCGAGGTGGGTGCTGACACCCATCTCCTGCACTCCCCGCTCCTGGGACCCGGCCGGTGACCCGCAGCGATATTCCCGGCAGGTTTTCCCTCTGGATAAACGCTCGTTCCTGATCCATCCCTGCCGCCGTGGGAATGCCGCAGCATTCCAGTCATCTGCCATCCATGCCCGGACACCACCTGGGGCAGGATGGAGTTGTTATTAATAACAGCACACACCCCGAGCCCCCGGACAGCGCCGGCCGCTCACCCTCGGTGCGCTGGGGTTTTCACATCGCCCTCTCCGCAGCCGTGATCACCCAGCACGGGGATAATAAAACCCGCGCACATCCACAGCTTCAGATCCCGCTTTTCCCAGCGGCTCCGGCTGGAGGGAGCAGGCGATGAATGAGCTGTGCCAAATCCACGGGAAGAAAACAACCTGTGGAGACGGATCCCCATCCATGCCCGTCTCCATCCCAGCCCCATCTCCATCCGCATCCCTACCCTGTGCTCATGCCCAGCCCGTCCCGTGCCCAGAGGAGATGCTCGGGCAGGGACCCCCCGCTCCCAGTGCCGCTCCCAGTGCCGCTCCCGGTGCCGCTCCCGGTGCCGCTCCCGCTGTCGACGGGGCGGCCCCGCGGGCACTCACCGCCGCCACCGCCGAGGCTCTCCCGCAGGAACTGCCCGCTGGAGAGGTGCTGGAGCCCGAAGCTGCGGGCGATCCTCTCGCACACCGTGCCCTTGCCCGAGCCGGGGGGGCCGAGCACCACGGCCCGCAGCAGCTTGGAGGCCATGGCCGGCTGCCGGCGCCGGAGCGCTGCGGGGCAGGACACGCGTCAGCCGGCCCGGCCGCGCTCCCCCCGCACCGCCCGGACACATCAGCAGGGCGGGGGGACCCTGCGGCCGCTCCCCCCGCGCCGCCCGCCCGCCCCCTCGGGCCGCGGCACCCTGGGATTTGTAGTCCCGGAGCCTCCCGTGCATCCCCCGGCCCGACGGGGCCCCCGCGGTTCCGCACATCCCGGTTCGGTTCATCCCGGTTCGGCGCATCCCGCTTTGGCACATCCCGGCTCGCCCAAGCCGCGCTTCCCATGGAAGCGGCTCCCGGGGCACGTCCCGCACGCCCGGCACGGCCGTGCCCGCCGGGAGCCGGGGGGGACCCGCGGGGGACCGCGACCACCGGGGCTGGCACCGCGGCTGCGGCCGGCGGGTACAACCGGTGTGTGCCCCGCCTGCCAACAGCCGGGAAACGCGGCCGTGGGCGTGCAACTGTGCATGGATACACAGCTGGAAAAGCAGAGCACAGGGAGGTACAACCCGTGGATACACAGCTGGAAAAGCACAGCTGGAAAAGCACAATCTGGGCAGGTACAACTTGTGGATGCACAGCTGGAAAAGCACAGCCCCTGGGGAGGTACAACCTGTGGATGCACAGCTGGAAAAGCACAGCCCGGGCAGGTACAACCTGTGGATGAACAGGCAGCGCACACACACATACACACACACAGAGCCTGTGAACAGCCTGGCACCGCACAGCCCGCCATGCCCAGGGGTTGCTCAGCACTGGTGACACCATGGGGGGTGTCAGTGTCACTGTGTGTGTCTGTGTGTGACTCCCTCTGCATGTGTGGCTCCATGGGTGTCATCCCTGGTGTGTGCGTGTGTCACTCTATGTGTGTGTGTGTCCCTTTCTCAGTGCATGTCACTCCCTGTGTGTGTGTGCGTGTGTGTGACTCCGTGAGTGTCACTGTGTGTGCCACTGTGTGTCACTGTGTGTGTGTCACTCTGCGTATGTCACTGTGTGTCACTGTGTGTATGTGTCATTGTGTGTAACTGTGTGTGTCACTCCATGTGTGTCACTCCGTGTGTGTCACTGTGTGTAACTGTGTGTGTCACTGTGTGCCGCTCCGTGTGTGTCACTGTGTGTGTCACTGTGTGTCACTGTGTGTGTCACTGTGTGTCACTCCCCGCGCTGTCCCGGCGGGTGCAGCCCGGCGCGCGCCCCCGCGGGTTCAGCCGTGCCCGTGCCCGCGCTCGGGGGCGCGCACCGCTCTCTGTCTCCGTCCACCCCCCCCCCCCCGCCGCCCCCGGAAGCGGGCGCGGGTCACGTGGGCGCGCGGCGCTGCCATAAACACGGCAAGATGGCGGCGCTCACGCCGCCCGCCCGCCCGTGCTGCGTCATGTCGCGCCCCGGCCCCGCCGCGCCCGCAGGTGGGTCCGGCCCGGCGCGGCCCCGGGCACCGCGGGGTGGGCGGCCGGCGGCGGGGGGCGCGGGGCCGGCGGCGCCGGGCGCGGCGCTGCTCCGTGGCGCACTCGCATTTTCGGGGGGTACGCGGGCGGGGCCGCCCCCTCCCCCCTGCCCCGGGCGGGTCCCGGCGCTCCTGAGGGGAGAGCGGGGCGGGGGGCGCTCCGCGGGGGATGGAGGGGTCCCCGTCCCGTCCTGTCCCGTCCCGTCCCGCGGCTGCTGCACGGTTTTCCCCCGCCCTGGTTCCAGGTAAGCTCGGGGAGCGCCCTGGACGCGAAGTTGGGAGGGAGCGGCGGTGGCGGCCGGGCCCTGCCGCCCCTCGGAGCCTCCGTGCCCGGCACCGCGGCCGTGTCCGCGCCCGGCGCGCCGCTCCATCCCCATAACCAGATGTTTGTTTTCTTCCCTCTCCAGACTCGCCGGGATTTGTGTTCGAAGCGCGCTGGGGAAGATGGAAATGAGGTTTGTTCCCCTCACACCCCGTGAGCCCGTGCTGGCTGAGAGCAGCTCGCAGCGCTGGAACATCCTCGAGCCGTGCGTAGGGGTGGGGAGGGACAAGCCCTGGGGCTGTGGGCAGGGAATGTCCCCAGTCCCATCGCTGGGATGCCGAAGGAATTTTGGTTCCTGTGAAACAACTGCAAAAATATCACCAGCCCCAAATGGGCAGGAGGTGGAATTGGAGTTTAAAAACCGGCTGGGCCAACTTAAACAGGTTTCAAAGGTGAGAACTGGCACCAAACACTGGAAAGTGAAGGGGTTTTTTGAAAAAGTGCATGGAAATTTGCAGGGCCTTAGCAATAACAAGAACAAAAATGTGTGCTGGACTCCAAAACTAATGTGGGCTTTGCTATGAAAAGGGTGTTTTTTTCCAGATAAATGGAGAACCTACTTGAGCTTTCTGCATCAGGTCTGTGTAGCTTTAGTCTGGCTGAAACAAAGCAAAAATCTGTATGTGTGTGTGTGAGATGCAAGACAACAAACTGTGTTTGTATTGGGGGAAGAGCTGGATCCTCCCGAGAAAATGGCATCAGCCCCTGGAACACGGGTGTGACTCCAGCAGCTGCTGTGCCAGAGGGTGCTGGGGGGGATTTGTTCACTCTCTGCCTTTAATATAGAGATAAGTAACTGCTGGAGCAGAGTAAAATCCTGATAGAGTGATCAAAGCATGCTTGAATTGCAAAACAGTGATTCTTCTCTCATCACCTCAGCCTGTGAAATGTGGAATTCCCAATCCCTCACTTAAGCCATTCCACTGAAATCAGTAGAATTCCTCACCTGGAATACCAATGGTGGTGTGAAAACACCTCAGAGTGAGAGCCCAGGGCTCATGCAGCTCCTTTCCTTTTCAAAACCCACCCTTGCACGGGCAGAATCCATTAATATTTTTAGCAAGTTTTTGTTGTGCTTTCCTAGCAACAGCCAATTCCTTAATGATTAATCCCCAAACTGTGGCAAACCTGCAAATTTGGGGATGCATGTGAAGTCATCTGTGCTGCCTGACGTCAGCATTGCATAATCTATTGACTGTCCCCTTTTTATGTAATGTATGTTTGGAGTTTGTTTTAAAATGTACAAATTTTGGTGTTTTTTTTTTTTTTTTCCCCTGCGTGCTGCTCCTCCAATATTCCACGTTTGCCTCTCCATTGCCCTCTGGAGTTGCAGACTTGTAAGGCAGCGTTTCCATGGCTGGATCCAGCCGAGTGTTTTGTGTTTCTCTCTTAAAAACAGCCTCTGGAACATCTCAGCACCTTTTCTTTGCCAGGTGAGTTATTTAGAGTGTTAAAAGAACCCCCAATTTTTGGAGTTTCAGCTTCTTGTGCTGCTGGAGTCCATCAGCATCATAAACGGACTTTTATTGGAAACTTAGTAACACATTAACTTTGTCAGCATAAAACCGTTGTGGTTTTTCAAACTCATTTCGGAACTTGATGTATCCAATTCCCTCAGGCAACGTGGGGGTTGTAGAAATAATTTGGTGATGTTTTTAGGAATGCCTGGTTTTAGGGAAGGAAAAAACAAGAGAGGGTTAAGTTGTAGAAATGCACAACAAAGTGAGGGGTGGAGAAATAGTTCCATGATCTTTTCAGCAGTGCCTGTTTTTAAGGAAGAAAAAAACCAGGGAAGAGTAAATATAGGTTGATGGAAGCTTGTAATTTAACTAATTAGTGGGAATGTGTATTTCAATTTTTTTTTAATGTGGATTTGATGACCTAAAAATGCCAACTGAGACACCTCGAGGCCCCTCTTTGCCTGCTGCAGCTGCAGTCCCTGTGAGCACAGCTGGCACTGGGAGCTGCTCCCCTCGGTGGGCACAGCAAGGATCAGCCATGCTGGCTCTGGAGACGCTCCAGAGGAGCCCAGTGAAGGTGTGGGATGGGCTGGAAAATCCCAGCTCCTGGAAAATCAGGCAGCAGGAGCCTGGCAGGCTCAGGGGCACGGTGCCAGCGTCGGGGCCATGCCCGTGGTGATCCCGCTGTCCCAGAGTGGCTCCAGCAGCTTTCCTGGCTGCCTGCCACTGTCCCCACTGCTCCCTGACACCCAACACTCGAGCAGCAGCGTGAGCCAAGAGCTGCTGGCTGCCTGGATTTCAGGGGGAGGAAGGGCTGCCCCCATGGGTTGGTTACTCTTTTCTCCATGAAATCCAACGTGGGTGGATTTGCCCAGAAGGTGCTGCTTAAAAACCTCTCAGAGCTGTGCTGCAGGAGCCACCGTGCTCATTAAGACAACACTAATTACATGGATAATTTGCTGGAGTGAACCTCAGCTGCAAAGCCACTTGTGTTAAAGCTCCTGAGGCTTTCACCTGTGGGGTGAAGCAGGGTTTTGGGGACACTGAGGGAGGAGGACACCGAGGACTCGGCTGTGCCACGGAGGGGCCAATGACTGCCAGGCTGCCCTGGCTCAGTTATCACAGTGCTGATGCTGTCTCTTGTAAAGGTACAGTACTGTGATAACTGAAGGATGGCAGCCATCTGAGCTTCATGGCATCCTGGGGCCACCAAAGCCAGCACGCACCACGTCCTGCTCCACTGGAGTGTCCTCGTCTCACCTGGAACCTTTGGCATGAAAGTCACATTTATTTCAATAAAATCTTGCACAATTTGCCTCGTTATTGGTTGGTTCGTCTTGGGAGGGCTTCCAGAAATGCTGGGCTTTGGAAGAGTTCAGAAATGGTTCCCAAAGCAGCCTGGTGGATATTAAATAACAGAGAGGCCCCTCGGTGGGGGATACTTGGTAACAGAACAAATTACTCTGTAGCAAGAGAGAAAATGAATTCCTTTTATGATACTCTTTAATATTATTTTGTTAAGGATACCACAGTCGTGGCTGGCTACTGTACCTCAGAGGTCTCTGCATGGAAATAAGCGGTGGGAAATGGATTCTTTCAGCAGTGTTGTTACTGGTGGATCGAGGACAGACCTTTGCAGCATTTCCTCAGGGCTTCTCTGCTCTGTGAGTGGAAGACTGAATTTCCTGGGTCATTTTTACAAAAATCCCTTGAAACGAGGCGGTTTTGAGGTGATCTTTGTGCTGAGTTCACTCTGCAGTGCAGGG